TTTGCTGTTACTTCATGGACGTTTTCTAGGAGTTTATGTTTTTCAAAATACAAGGTTTTTAACAAAAAATAACGTATACTTATTGTCGTCGGATTAACACCAAATTTTCACAGCTTTAAGGTGACAATGAGAGGAACTTGAATGTGTCCAGACAAACTATTTCATCGATTATTTACCAACGAGTTGTGGTTTGAGTTGGGGGCAATGCGCCTAAAACAGTAATTGAAATTCAGGACACTATTTTTTAAAACGCGTTGCTTGAATAAAACTAACCAGACACATTCAATTTACCAGACTATTGAACAACTAGGAAAAGTGAAAAAAATACTTCTTATCGCCAGCATAAATGCGTAATTATTTTTTTTACAGAAAAAGTAATTTTTCACCTTTGATTGAGTAACGCGTCGTAGATTGCAGATACGGGCATGCAAAATACACTTGTGAAAAGCTTGAAGTCTGGCGATTCTAAAAATATATACTTTCCCCGGGTCTATTTGTAGTCATTTAGTCACAATTAGAAGATGAAAACAAGTATGCAAATAATAGTCCCGCTACCTTAATTGTGATCATATTACTAACTCCCAGTTACATTCTTTTTCAGAGGGGATGAGCATTTTCTAACCATAATAGTCTTTTACATAGCGTGAACAGATGTCACTAAATCTTGAAGGTCAGCTCTGCAGGCTATTATATTATTTGTATTTATAGTTATATCATATTTTTACATAAGTGCATTGACCGGAACAAAATTTTTTAAACGTTTTGTGTTAAGCAATGACATTTTTTAAAGAGAAGATGGCATTCTTTCCATCACAGGGAGATTGGAATTTTAAAAGTCACATAGCGATCAACTTTCGATATTTTGTTTAACCTTTCGATTGTTTTGTTTTTATTATACTGAACTGATAGACAGGATCACTTTTCATTTTTGGTTTTAAATTAGCACCCCCAATATAGAGAGTAATCCATCAAAATAAGTCAGTGTTATTATGTAAATGGCGTAACAGCACGACATATATGACAAATATAAGGGTGAAAAAACTTTGACCAGATTTCAAGTAATGGCGACAACCCTTAAATTTGCTGTAAATAAGTCCAAAACATCAATGGTAGTCAGATTAGCGTCTACATAAAATCAATGCTTTTACGAAAGCGTCAAAAGAATTAAATTACAAATAAACTGGTCTGGTAACAGCCTGGAGAGGCGAAGAGAAAAACAACTTTTTTTCCCCTGGCAGCATGCCAATAACCCATGTATTGGTAAACAAGGTAAGGTGGAAATTTACGACAGCTGTTGTAGTTAGACGCATTGTTTTCAGAGAGGGAGGTTCGGTGACCTACATTTTGGCAAAATCACTTTTAATTGCTTTCCAGCGTTAGTGTCCACTCACTTAAATCAAGACAAAAGAAGCGCTGATGGTCAGACTCCAAATTCAGACCGTGCAAAAGAAATATGAAAAGCACACCTTAATTACCCTAATTATGCAAGAACTATTTCTAGCTCACATGTCATTTTTAAGAGACAAGTCCATTCCTTCCATCAAGCATCACAAAATTTATATGAATTATACATTTGTTGATTGAATGTCATTGCCACCTGACAGATATAAATGCCAACTTCCTCTATACATTGTGTCTACTGGCAGGCGAACACTGCCCTCACAGTGAACAGTATCATCCCTATGTCACATGATGTCAAATGTCAATACAACTGGGACCTCCTGAGATGATTATTTACTGCTCTTCATCTGCAGCAGTAATCAACTCACAGCCATTTATAGAGAGCAGGTGACACTAATTTTGCAAAGGAGGTCATGCCAGACAAGCCTGAAATAAAAGATCACACACTGTGGAATTTTTTACTCAAAAATTTCTATTGATACTAAGATTCAAAATAAAATTGCAACCTTTTTTTTATGCAAACCACATGCGCAAAAACATGATCCAATTGAATTTGTCCATTTTAGTTGATCTAGGACCAAACTGCAATACATTACCTAACAGGAAATGACATCATGGATTTATGAGGCATGGGAAATTCTCACTTGACCTTCTGAAAGTTTTTAATTCTCACTTGAGCTTTTCAAAGTTTTTACAGTTTTCAGAAGTAGGGGTGTGGCATTTGTGTCGATGTCAATACTCTAACAGGAACACGACTTGGAGGTTAAGGAAGTTTTTTTATGCTTCAGCTCAAAAAAATCACTTTAGAGACGTATAATCAATGAAATACTTTGAAAAGCACCCAAAAAATTACAATTTTTATGGTAATAAATTTTTGTGATAACTCAAAATTTTGTTTGGGCACATGTGGGTAACAAAATAATATGTGAATATGAAATGGGCTCTCAATATATGTAGATTTAAAAATTATTTTAAGGGTCATATTTCATTATCTGGCCAAGGACAAATACATTACCATCTATAAATAAGTGGAAAGTAATTAACAAGATATTCACTCAAATACAAAACTATCATGGAATTATTTTTTAATGTGGCAATGTTATCAGCAATCTTCGATAGACATTCAATTGTCAATTCATAATGAACAAAATGTCAGTCTGCATATAAAAAATGTACAGGTAATATTTTTAACAGTTTAATTTTTAAAATTTAATGGCATTAATGAAGACAAAATTTCACCCATGTCAGTGTGTCGTAAGACCTAAAGACAAATTTTCATTGCCAACAAATTTCATGATTTTTTAAAGAAAATGACAGCGGCCTTAAAATCATTAATAATTTAATCCAGTGAAAAATTAAATCTATAAGAGCATGCTGAAGTGATCTCAATAGTCAATTTGTTAACCCTTTCACCACCAGTTTCCTCTATTTATCACAAATTCATAAAATATCCTGTTTATAGTCCGCACTTTCCTGTTTATAGTCCGCACTTTCCTTCAGAAGATTAAGACAAAAAAAGTCAAATTTTTTGAGTAAAAACTGAAAATTGACTTAAATTTTCTCTGTCCGCTCCAAAATTATGGTTTATTTCCAGAAATATTGAAGAATATAAAAGGAAAGTGAAGAAAAATTTTGATGAAAAAGTCTGGTGGTGAAAAGTTTAACCTAACAACATTTCCACCAGCAAATAACAGCACTGATTCACCTGTAACATTTTAATGGTTTCACTACTTTTCTACTTACTACTGTATTACTGAAATTGTTTATCTGTATATTCCAGTACTTCAAATAGTAGGACATAGCGATACAGAATATTTTTCTTGCAGGGTCGGAATCTAGCAGTGGATGAGAATTTTGGCATATTCTTGGCCAGGTCATTTTTATCTCCTTTTCAAATATTAAGCAATTAACAGTGACTATTACTGACATATGGACAGACGAATGAACACAGTGATCCACTAAGCTGCTCATGATACTCGAAAGCAGGATCATTTCTAAATTTTAAATTGTGACTTTAATCATTTCAATCAGTAAGCTGCCAAATACACCCACATGATACAGGTAGCCTGTACCACATTCATTTTAAAAAATCCTCCTGACTCTCGACACTATACA